GTTCAAGGGTCAACTGTGCATGCTGTCTTGCTATTCATCCATCTTAAATATTCTTCTTTTGCAACTATCAATTCACTTAAGTTATTGATCACACTGTATACCTTGGAAATTTGCTAGAAGCAACATATCATTGCAAAAAAATTTTTAAAGATTTGAGAAAGTATATGCAGAGTATGACATCATAAGAGTAGTCTTTATCTAATGATCCTTTCTAAAACAACTGGGAAGTTGGAGTGGAGACATATGGCTTTTGATTATATTTATGCAAACACTTCTTTTTACAAGCACCATTAATGAATAAACTTTTAGCATCAGAAATATTTACTAACAACTAAACATTGGTTACATTCTTAATGCAAAACAATCTTTGACATAACTACAAACATGTATACACTTCAAATATTGGCAAATTGCTTTGAAATGCAATTCTCAGCAAGTTTTTGGTAATTTATTCACAGTTCAGGATTAGAATCACTGGACTTAGATGGCATGTGGAAGAAATGACTAATTGGCTCAGTTAACTGAACACTCATTTTAAACAGAAAACTAAAACAAGCAAGGATGATCTAAAATTTCCAGCTCACAAGAAATAAAACAAATACTAAAAGTTTTAAACAAAAATTCAATCACAGAACAGCTAAAAAGCTAACAGGATCACTTCTGTATTCATTCTGAAAACTAGTAAGAAAGATATTACAAGAATTTCCTAAAACGTTCTCATTAGCCATTATTTGTGGTATATTCCATAACACTGAGATCGAGCTATTACAGACCTACAAGTGAATGACATAACTTTACAGTCTTGCTAGTTAACTATGATTTTACTTAAACCCTAAATAGTATTGGTTTGAAGCTAATATTATCAATCCTATTGGTTGCCAAGTCACAGATCTAAAGATGTGGTCAAATTAATCAAGCTAGGGAAATACTGATATATTTAACAATCTTTAAATATTGTGGGAGAAAACCAATTTAAGGGTTAAAACTTCTACACTTAAGCCTCTAACACTAAAAACAAAGTAAGTAATCTGAAACATGCTTTCATGGGGAAAACACTCTATCTGGTATTTTGGCACACAAAATATGTGGATGTAAGACTAAAATATCTTTCTTTCCCATTGCCTTCAATTTCTTTGGCTTTCACAAATTCAATGTGAGGTATAAATTTTTTCAATAAACACTTTTCAATGATATTGTGCTTCTTAGAAAAACCACTTAAGTTGTAGCACGCCACAGCTAACATTAATATTTCCCTTTTATTACTACTGTATATCCTAATTTAAAAAAAAAAGAGGGAAAATGACCCCAAAGAACTTTGTTCATGAAAGCAAATTTTTCAGCTGGTTTTTCATCCTTTGAGGAGTTAATAGAAATAAGTGTCCACACCTGAAACTAATATAATATTGTATGTCAACTGTAATTGAAAAATAAAAACTATTAAAAAAATAAAACATAAAATAAATAAGTGTCAAAGGAATAGTATCAAGGAGCAAAAAAGGCTCTCTTTCCCATGCTAATTAACTCTGGCCAAGGACCCATATTCAAAGGGATAAGACAATATCATCTCAGAAATGACTAAGAAACTGGAGAGAATCTGTATTAGCTCCCTTACCCAACAACCTCATCTGCACATTGCCCTGTGTCAGTTCCCTTTTGAGTAGTATTAGGCTTGTTTTTCACTTTGCATTTAATGTGTCATTCCTTTGAAGACCACGGAAACATGGACCTATAGCCTGTGATAATAGCTTACTCTACTAAGTATGTTTCATCTCTTACAAACGTGATACACCCGAAAACTTGGACCATTATTTAAGTGAACAAAATCCACTCACAACATTTAATTACCCAGCTCAACTCCATTTCTTACTCTCTCACCCTCTGCCTTCCTTTCAATAATCCCAGTCTTCACTAGTGATGACGAGTCCACCGGGGAAGAAGTGAGCTTTGCTTTTAACAAGATGCATTTGTTAGTCCCTAGCAGTTACTTGCCCATAATAGGTTGTTGACATAGTTATAACAAATTAAAAACAGTTAACGTTAAGTTTTCTCCTATCATTTATTCCAATAACTTAGGTGATTAAAGGAAGATGGAAAAGCTGACTCCAAAGTAATAATCATTCACTGGGCTACATATGAAATGCTACACATGGCCTGGGGTAAGGAACTCTACATTATATATGAGAAAATTTAAACATTAAATGTACTACATGGAAGAACTTTTACATAAAGAACTCTTTTTGTAGAATATCTTCCTTGAAAATCAGATTTTCTTATCCTACATTAGTTTATACTAGGCATGAACACTTATTAGCAGTTTACCTCACTATAGTATCCTTTTTTGTGTTCATAATTCATAAAAGAATTTCAAAATCACTATATTAAATAGGGTAGGAAGCAAGAAGAAGGGGCATGGAGGAGAAATCATGTTTGGAAAATATTACTTTTTTTTTTTTACCACTGACCTTTGATATTTGGTTTAAAATTTATTCTAGCTTGAAGTGTGTGTTTGGCAGGGGAAGAGAGAGATTATGAAAATTAAGGATTGATTTCACGTATTAGTTTTCATTTAGAATGCTGACTCAAACTTTAGATCATTAAGAAATGCTACAAACCCATACAAATTATGTGTATAAAATGCTAATATAATGTGAGAAATGACACTCTATATACACTAAAACTGGCAGGCCTACACAAAATAATCTTAGAAACACTAAGATATATATAGCTATAGAAGCTATACATGTGATGCAAAGAGTAACCCAATTTTATTTTTAAAAACAATCAGGTTTCTAGTCTACATCTATGAGTCCTTCCAATTACTTCACAATTCTTACCTTCACTTTTGAAAGAGGACTTAACTAAAACATAAACACGCTATCCTATAACCCCCAAGATTTAGCCAAAAAAGCCCCATGAAGTAATTACAATTTTTTAAGTATCAAACTCCTAGTCTATTCTAAATATTTTAAATTATTAACTTCCATATTTGACACTAACCAGCTGAAGGCACCTCAATATCACTTTATTTACATCTTCTTCCTAAATAAATTTCAGGGTAGAACACAGAAAATACAAAGAGAAAAATACCTAGGAAGTAATACAGGCATACCTCGCTTTATTGCACTTCACTTTATTATGCTTCACAGATGTTGCTGTTTTTGTTTTTTGGTTTTTTTTTTTACAAATTGAAGGCAAGACCCTCCACCAGCAAAAAGATCACAACTCACTTTATTGCAATATTTGCTTTATTACGGAGGTCTGGAACCCAACCCGCAATATCCCCAAGGTATGCCTGTACTAAATTTGATGCAATTCTTCATTAATTTCAGTGTAAAGCATATAGCTTTTTCTAAGCCTATCCCACGATATACATTTAGAGTCAAATGATTAGTCAAAAGACTTAAAAATCTTCCAAACAATTACAAAGAGCTTCCAAACTGGCACAAAGATACTAGTTTTACACAACAAGGCAGTGAAGGGAAGTTAAAATTAACTGCAAGAAAATCTTTGGGACAAATTAGAGAGAATTCTGAATATATAATTATTGATTTGAAATCCTCTGTATGAGGATTTCAAAGAACAAGATAAAATATGCCATTCAGCAGCAATCATTAAAAAAACTATAGACACAAGGAAATAAAAACCACTTTTAGGAGATGAAAAACAAAAAGCAGTATTATCCAACATGTATGTATCCTGTCTTCAAATTTAAAATCATATTGTCAGTTGTCCACAGCAACTCAAATTTAAAGTCTGTGCTATAAAATTGTACAAATGTTTTGTTAAGGGCTTGAGAAAACTAATGCACTACTATACTATTTAGCTTCCTAAGCTACTTTGACCTACAGATAACTAGCAACAAGTTTAAGAGACTAAGGTTAACCTAACTTAGGTAGAAATCCCACCAAGAAACGTTTTCAGTTTTTAAGTATACAAACAAATTTCAAAATAAACCATAGCATCTTCTCTTTATATATAACTTAACAAAACTTTAATGAAATGTCTAAGTATACTGCTACTGGCTTTAGATCTTCCAGTTTAACACACTACTCTTTTATTGGTCTAAATGAATAGAAGTATGTGGTAAAACAAATACCAATTACTTTTAAAACACACAATCCAGATTGGACTGGAGGGTCCAGAAATCCAGCACCTAGCATCTTTTAAAGAAAATGAGAACAAAATCTGCTTCTGATACTGATTTGAATATAGAGTCCATTTTTTAAACTCCCCCGCAAATTACTGGAAAAATATGAGGTAATTTCACAAAAATCACAAGTTGAGTGGATTAATTATAACTGATATATAAATAAGGA